ATCCATATTTTTTCCGTCAATTTCAAATTCTTTTCAATATTATCTATACTACTATATATAAAAGTGGCTTGAGATTCCATCGATAGCAAATCTTGATGTTCATCTATAAATTTTAAATTAATCTATAATGTTCATATATAACTCTTCAAATTCTATTATTTATCAATTCCTATAAAACATTTATTTATATTAATTAAACAGTATGCAATTATTAATGCTTTAATTCGAAAGCTGCAGCACTAAACCATCTCATATGCCCACTTTACTTCCCATTTTTAAAATCGCTTTTCAAATAATTAATTAAGCAGATTCCAAAATTATTAAAAATGCTGTAATCCGAAAACAGCTATCAATCCAAAAACCGCTTTCAACTAATCAATTAATTTCCGAAATTATTATAACTTCAACCTTTCATTTCATATTGGCTACACTTATTAATGTATTCTCTAAATTGTATTTAATTAAGAGAATTGCAATGGTTATTACAAAATTCACAAAAAAAAAAGACTTTTTAGATAACCCATTGCATTAAATAGTATTAATGATTAATAAATATAAGCTAATTATTAAAGCAAACATATCCAGTATCTCAACCTTTCATTTCATATTGGCTATAATTATTACTGTATTCTCTTAATTGGATTTAATTAAAAGAATTGCAATAGTTATTACAGAATCCATAAAAAAACTTTTTATATAACCCGTTACATTAAATAATATTAATGATCAATAAATTTAAACAACTTACTAAAATTAGGGGAAATTTACACACATACCATATTATTTCATGTTATTTACATATCTAACACTCAAAAATTAATATTATATTACTAAAATTAAACGTACAAAATTCGTAGCAATTCATTTTTATTAATTATAATTATTTAAATCAAATCTTAACCTTTCATTTTAATTATTATAATTATAATTAATTAATAATTATAATTTTATTCATAAAATTAATGTATTTATGAACACCTCTTCGGATCCCACTAAAACAAATGCTTGCCTTATTGCTGGGCGTTTGGCTGCCTCGAGTCCCTTTGGATACCTCCCACAACATAGATTTAAGGCTTCGCGTGAAGAAGACCGTCCGTCAGATTTCTTGGCCTTCGGTTCTTGTTCCCACTCAACTTTAAGGCTTCATGTCAATAATATTTTTGAAAGAATTGTTGCTTCTTTGCCTTCGTCGTTCGAAAGTCACGTCGGGAGTTCGATGCAAAGGTAACGATCTTTGTCAAGCCTTCTTTGTTCATGTCATTCCTGTTGGCTTGGAAGTTGCGTCAGTCTTTGTTCCTAGCTTATGGTCTTAGTACGAATGGGAGCGATTGTATTACGACTAGAGTAATGCAGACTGATGATAAGAAGCCCGAATCTGATATGATTTCATCGGTAAAATAAAGCTTTTTTTTAATGACCTTTGCGTCTTCTCCCTCAATATGCTTTTTAAACTATTACAGCTACTACATTTTTTTCTGTTTGTCTATGCCACTATATAAAAGTGGCTTGTGATTATTCCAAAAAAAATTGGTATCCGTCAACTTTTAATACCAAAATAAATGTCCACTTTTGATTGCTTGCATCTCTTCATTTCTTCGTTATTAGCCTCTCCTACTACAATGGGTTCACATATGTTGTGTGGAGAAGAGTTTTGAAAGAGTTGCAAAAGAAACTTTAATGCCTTCCACGATGCATGGTAGTGAGCTCACTACAAAGGTATGTTTCTTCCTTCGCTATTAAGCCTCTTCGTCTTCTTCTACGACGCCGTTGGCTTCACGTGCTTTGCATGAAGAAGGATTATGAAAGAGTCGCTAAAAAAGCTTCTTTGTCTTCTTCTACAACGTTATTAGCAATTCACATACTTCACTTCATGAAGAAGTCACTAAAGAAGCTTCTTCACCTTCTTCTCCTATGGGATAGAAAGTCATGCACGACTGCATTCGCCACAAAATAACGATTTTTCTTTCCTTGCGCACTTTGTGGCTATTCTCCACCATCTGTTTTATTTCGGTGAAGATGCATCTTACCTCTCTTTCAGCTGTGTTTTGCCTCTAAGAATTGAGTGGAAAATAAAAATTATTTAACTAATAATTACATCTTGGATGTTTGGTTTAGGTGTTATAGATAATAAATTAGAATGAGTAAATTAAAATGTGTGCATATTTCTCTTTGTGATAATATAATAAAATATTCACAATATGAATTTTTATTTTTATATTTTTATTCACATGCATTTATTGCACGTGGTTAACGATTGTTGTGCATCTTTTATTTTTAAGAATATATGCATACACCTTATAGTTATTATATCTGATTTATGTGCTCTACCTTTCAACATAAGGAGAAATCTTCTGCAAACATTTTTAATCAATGACTTTGTTTTAAGATGACATATTCAACTTTTGAAACTTTTTTTTGTGCTAATTCCTTTTCTTCTACTTAAAGTAGTGACATAATCTACAGTCCTTGGAACATCTGTTAATGTGAAATGCTAAGCACACGAGTCATATGGGGGCTTATTAAGCAACATGTACAACCATACTGATGAGTTTGTGAATTCTTTGTTGAACCATGGGTTGGTCTCTTCATTTGGAAGTTACAAATGGCATCTTAGCACCTATAATATAACTCAACAAAAAAATATCATGCTAAAATTCATTTTTCATATTAGTGTTGAGATGGATATCATGGTCATGATCTGGTACTTTTTTTATTCTGTTTAGCGCACTACATTTTGATTTTGTAATAATAATGCTTACAATGCATTTATGATGTTTCTTTGATCTCTTTATGATGTTTCTTTGGGGTTCTTGAGATCTGTTTATGATGTTTCTTGAAATCTCTATAAATATGTATTGTTCGACGACTCTGCCATTCAGTGTTACTGCTATTAATGTCTACTCATTGTTTTATTTAAAGTATATGAGCTTTTGGGCTTTTAGAATATATCAAATATCTTTTTTTTTTATTTAGGTTGATTTTTTCCTTTGTTATTTGTTGCAAAATTGATGAATAAAATGTGTGAACTTGTTCTTGTGCATGAATTTTTTGATAATATTATTTTAAGAAAAATATATAACTTTTTGTTAATATTATTAACAATTATAATTAATTATAGAAATAAAGACAATAATTTTATTTTTTATTAAATAAAATATAATTAGAATATTCATTATATGAGTTTTTATTTTAAATTTTTTATTCACATGCATTTTATGCACGTGAAAAGGTTGGAGTAGCTCCAGTAGAAGATAAGATTAGAGAAAGTCGCCTTAGATGGTTTGGTCACATAAAACGGCGGCCTTGCAATGACCCGGTTAGGAGAGTAGAGGTATTAGATTTGACTTATGTTAAGAAAGGTAGGGGTAGACCTAAAAAGACTTGGTTAGAAAATATTAGGAATGACCTTTCTTTTTTAGATTTAAACGAGAATTTGACTTTTAATAGGACACAATGGAGAAAAAGGATTCATGTAGCCGACCCCACGTAGTGGGATAAAGGCTTGATGTTGTTGTTGTTGTTGTTGCATTTTATGCACGTGCAATAAAACTAGCAAAATTAATGACACTTTTTTACTAAATGTTAAAATTTGTATTCATCTAGACTTTGTGCACATTCAAATAAACATTAGTGATTATAATTATTCATAGTAATAAATTTAATAATTTTTTTCAACTTAACAATGATAATATAATCAAACTATTTTTAAAATATAAATTTTTCTTTTTTTAATTTTTAGTCATGTGCATTTAATGCACATACATTTTTACTAGTTATAAATAAAGACACGCCTTACAACTTTAAATAAAAGGGACAACAACAACAAATAATTTAAATGAAACACGACGCAACGACACCACTCAAAGACACCTTAAAACTTTTCGAAGTTTGAGAAGAAAGATACATATGGAATGAAAACCGTGGAGAGAAGTAGATAGAAGTCCAAGATGAAGTAGAAGTAGGGTAGATGAAGATAGCTCTCATGCTAGATAACTCGTAGGTTATATATTCCAAATATTCATCACTGATCTCTCTAAATAAAACAGCAAACATCCCCCTATAAATACGAAAAAAATAGTCCAAATAGCCCCCAAAAGTGCCGCCCAAGCCTCCAATAGGAGCAGCCACAATTTATGGGAAATCATGAAGAAAGAGGCACGGCCAACCCAGGAACCAAGCAGCCAGAACACCAACAGCCAGCCCAGGAACCAAACAGCTAGGAAACCAACAGCCAGAGCAGGAACCGAACAGCCAAATCTTGGGAAATACCCAAAAGAGAGGAACGGCCAGCCCAGGAACCAATCAGCCAAAAAAAGCATCAGCTGAGATAACCAAAACACCAAGCAACCAAGGGACAATGGGCCAAGCCCAACAAAGAAAATTCAGCCCAATCATAAATGCCCATTAAGAGAAAAAATTGTAACTTTTGCCTACATCACAAATGAAAAATCTTCAAAAGTGTCATGATAACTAGGTTGTCATAAATATTAATAAAGAACTTGTCCACACATTTCGATAGAGCAATATTTCATCTTTACTCATAATAAGTTTTAATAAACTAATCAACCAGTTGAGCATGATCAACATATAGAATCAAGCCTGAAGAGGAATGCTGGTATAAGCTTGAATCTATGGCCAGTAAATATCCATCTATAGCAACATAACAATCTATTGTTAATATCTTTTCATCTACAACACTCCAGCAATCTATAGACAACAGCTTTCCATCTACAACAACCCAACAATTCGTGAACAGCAACTTTCCAGTTCTAATGCATTTTAATTTTACATTCCAGAATTAAAAATCGGTTTACTAATCTGTTTCTTTGTTTGATAGCTATTTTTAAACACTTCTATGCACAACTTCTCACCTTATCTTTTACACTAAACAATCGAATAAAGTTCAATCGGATAATTTTTCATTATACTCCCTTCTCATTATAATTTTCAAACGAAACATTACGAAAAGCCTTCAAATAAATAATAACTTAAACCAATACCTCTGCATCGAAATGGATAAAAGCATAACGATTGAGCATTTTCTGCAGGTCTAGACTACGACTTTCAATGTCATTATTGTACCTGCAATAATTACAAAGAGAGATCAAGAAAAGGGTTATGCAAATTGTTGAATAGGCAAATACATGTATATTGCTATTACATTTACTAGAGGCCCACACAAATTGAAGCGTATGCTAGCAAAAGTTTATTTTGATTCTCAAAAACGATTTTTTAAAGATCAATTATACATAGAGCTAGCACATCTCGCCATGGAATGAGTTCTTTTTGGGTCATGATCCCCAAGTTAGTATGGCATTTTGAAGCCAATGTTCCCAGTCAGTATCATCATTGTTTTCACTAACACATAAAAAAAGAAAGAATGCGTTCTTCCAATCAGAGTTCAAAGTACATAAGCATTATAAAATCAATAAATTCCTTCATTAAAAGGACTTCAAAATAATTTCTTTAATTTTTTAAACTTACTAAGCAATAGCAATGAACTAGGAGTATGCTAATTTTACAGCTTGTTTCAAACTGTATGCATGTAGTTGCAATCGAAAGAAACAATAGAAGAGAAAAATGTCAATACCTCTGCTCAATGACATCAAAAAGAAGGCTATACTGCCCAGATACATCATACGGAACATATTCCTCATCACCATTTGCTAGAAGACTCTTATAATCAGCCCAAAATATATATTTGACGGAAGAAACTTCAGTTTCCTACAAAATGATGTAAGAAACATAATAATTTAATTCCATGCCTCCTACCTGAATATAAAGACATGGAGCACCCCTACATTATGTCATCTAGATCTTTCAAGCATAACAGAAGCATGAGACATGGAAATGACACAATGTGGACTAAGGGACATGACATGACTACAGAAACTAGGGCATGAAATGACATAGTGATGATTCTTTTATAAATTAATATAAAACGTAGATTAAAACACATGATATTATTTTTTTTAAACGAACAAACAAATATATGAAGATGTTATCTACCAAACAAAAAGCTTAAAGCTCAACAGAAAATTTCTATTAGTTTGCACCACATTTCATCAAGTGCACTTATTTGGCAATCACACACCAGTAGTAGCATTGATCATTAAACCTGTGATTTTGTCAATATTCCTATACCCTTCTCTACATAAAATGGTAAAAATCTTAAATGGAGAATATATCGTGTGAGATTGTGAAGGTCAAAAATGGTATATTATGTATTTATAAAATAATGCAACAAAATATTATCAAATTGCGGCTTCTCTCAGTTGTCTTCGTTTCATAACTGGGCATTGTCTTCATTTCACCATATCCTGGATTATCTCCTAACAGTAGAGTATGCCACAACCATCTCAAGTGACAGCCAATGAATCTGCAATACTTCCAACAAGTCAAGTTAATCTTAAAGAACACTTCTCCGCCAACAACCCCCTATTACTTCCCCACCGTCTGCTAGCATCTCCTACGGCAGAGAACTTCAAGTTCCTGCTATTTCTCGAATGTTATAAAGACCATCTAATTATTGCCTTGAAGGGAAGTTCAAGGAAAACACTTCTTTCACCCTTTCAGGCACTCCAGCTGCCAATTGGAAAGCCAATGAGCATATACTTGCTTCAAAGAAGAGCCAAATTTGAGCCCTGTGTGGAAGTGTCTAGCCCTTGGTGGATGATTCAAAGCTATAATTAACCGTAACCAAGTCGCTACCATTGAATCTATTAGTTCCTAAAACAATAACTATCTTCCCCTTTTTCCTACTCAATAATCATGACATCCTCAATATATGCTCCACAAATCAATCACTCAAATGCGACAAAGATGAACGGCCATCATATATTTCAAATTCAGTTTTAAACACTTTTGCCTACATGAAAATCACTCAATAATTGTTCGTTTGCCAAAAGAATTGCATCAATGTGTTCGGAGCTCAAAATTACTAAGAAAAGACCCTCGTAATCGATTCAATCGAGTATGACGAAAAAGGAAGATGGCAAATGCGACAACGAGTAAATCTAGCTTGAAATGTTACAACCACAAACAAAATCACTCAAATCTCTGCGCCAACATGTCTAGAAGATCTAAAATGCTAAGAAGGAACACAAATATTGTTTGGATCACCACACGAGAAAAATTCAAAAAAAAATCATCCATCAGAAGAAAACAAAATTTTAACGTGCACAAGCAACAAGAAATTGAGCAAGGAGAAAATATATGCATGTTGATTTCCTTTCTCTTATTTCTCTAATTAAATTTAATTAAAAATAATTCAACAACCAAAAACCAAATCCCTATCAAATCCCACAGCCTCCATATTCTCAACTTCTAAGTCCTCATATGCACTCCATCACATCACTGTATGTTATCCTATCGCCTAATCCTAAAAAAATTTAAAAATCTCAAAATGAAAAACCCACATTCACATATGCCTTCTTGCTCAGTCCACATATCTACCACACAGAAAGGCTTCGTCTCCCTCTATCGCCATTTCTCTCTGATTCACGCAATATTTCGTCTCTCGTTTCCTATAATAGTGTGATTCCTCTCCCTCATCAAACTAGCAATTGTGCCTTCCTCTTGTCTTCCCCCCTTAGACAACTACCCAAATTCCTAAAATCATGGTTTCAAAAATTGTTAATGGTGCACGCCATGAGGCAATCCTCAAACTAAGGAGCACAATGAACACCTTGAGGCATAAGCCTCACTAGCACCAATGAGGCTTTTGCCTTTTTTAAATGTGGCAACCACCTCGAGGTTTAACACCTAGAGGGGTTTTGAGGTGAAACCTAATTACATGTCAATTTATGTTAAAAAATATATTATATATTATTATTACTACATATTATATTCTATGATATACTTATAAGCAAATAGATTTCATGCACCAAGACTAGGGTTTGTCTCTATGCAAGAATGTATGCTAGCTTTGAGCATATCAAGAGTGAAGTTGCAATTAAGTGGATGGACAATGAACAAGAAGTCGTGCATCACATCTTCCCTTGGTCTCAGCTTCCTTTTCTTTTTCATCGTCGAGCCCTTTTGTCTCCATGCATGCACGAACAGTTATTTTCTCCCTCGACACTTACTCAATTTTGTGGTATAAACTACCCATTTTCTAGTATATCATGTGTTTTACACTTCCTCTTTGTTAATAGTTGCAATTGAGAATTTGTTTTAAAAACTATTAAGGGTTGGTTTTATTCACCTAAACTTATTTCTTGGATGATGGAATTATTAATGCATGCCACTCCTTATATCAATGAAGATCTAGGTAATTAGTTCTAGTGTTATCAAGGTCCAAGATAACATGATTCACTCTCTTTTCTCGTCATTATTATAATTGGGGATGTTTTACACAAGATGTTTAAGGTTGTATCTAAGAATTATTAGATTGAGAGTTGCATTGAAAAAAAATATTTAAAGTAGTTTAAAGTTGTGTCTAAGGACAGTTAGATTTAAGGATTTTTTAAGTTCTTAATAGTATTTTCTTTCTTTTTGATGATGCATTGGGCCTTAAAACACATTTTCCTAAATATTCGCTGATCTACTCAGCAGGATAATTATTCAAATATTTTACCATTCAGTTCATTATTTTTTAATTGAATGCTATTGATTTTTTCTAATAGAATGAGTGGTGGTGCAATAAGAAAAAATTCAGCTTGGAAATATGGAAATATGGTACTACATGAGAATGGGTAAAGATGGGTCAAGTTTATTTGAAAAGTAAATTTTGTGACAAGTGGATTACTAGGTGATGCAAGGAAAAAATTAGGAAGACCCTAACTTTGCAAGCATACTAAAAGACTTAGAAAAATAACAAAATACATGCTAAAATTCAACTTTCATATTATAAAACGGCTCTTACAAACTTATAAAATAAAAACACCTAAAGAAGCTTGCATTCGTCGAGAAAAAAAATACATATGGGGTGGACACTTGCGGTGAGAAGAAAGATGTAAGAAGCCGAGACGAAAGAGAGGACAAACTCGCAAGCTTTCCTACGAAGAAGAGAGGAATGGAACAAAGCAACAAACTCGCAAGCTTTTCCAAGAAAACCAGCAGGTTTTGGCACAAAAAATCACTTACATAACCTCCTTTTATGCTTACAAAACATCATATATATATATATATATATATATGAGATAAGAGGTAGCTAAACAGCCAAAAGTCACCTTCAAACAAACCAATCAGGTAAGGGGAAATGGAAGGCCAGCAATCAGTCCAGAAATAACACCCGAAGAGCCACACAAGAAATCGAAAAAGGTAACCAAGGGGGAAGGAAAGGACGGCCAGGTGAACAGGGACAGGCAACCAGGGGAACCGAAACTGATGCAATCAAAAATTTGGGAGAGGGACCCAAATTTTTTATCACAAAAAACAAACTCTTTCTAAGAATAATAAAAATTCAAATAACTCATAAAA